TTATTTATTTTCCGGATATCCGTTTTTCCGGATATCCGTATTTTTTCGAAGCAAAGCAAATACCAAAATTAGATATCCGTAACATTCGAAGCAAATCACAAATACCTTAAAAAACCCGGATATCCGATCCGTGCCCACCCCAGTGTAGTATTATATCAAGAATAATCAAGAAACCAAATCTTTACAGAACTGAGAAAATCTCACACGGGATTCATGTTATGTAGCGACTAGCAAAGACATATTGTTTGCTTAATTAGAGAAAATATCAACTATCCTTAAAATTAATGCAAGTTTTAATTTTAAAATAGCAATAAACCTTGTTACTGCTTGTTGACATACTTCTGAGTCTATCTATATATACAGAAAATATATTAAACATTGAGATACGGATCACAACATCAAACTAATCAAATCTCTCTTTATTAAAATATTTCAAAATTTAAAACCCAAATATATCACAAATAAACGTAACCATTCCAACTCATAGATAAAGACATCACAAGAAAATAAAGTTGAACCCTTCCCATATCATTTATCTGATCCTTCCAAGAGTTTGTCACTCTGTCTATAAATTAAAAAACAGGATACGAACTCTTAAGCATCTCAAAGTCTACCAAAGCACTTTCGTTGGCAAATAAAGATGGCACAGTCTTCTCTATTAGGAGAACTTGAGGTTGAAGTGGAGATCAAATCTCCCGCTGCGAAGTTCTACCACATGTACGCTGGAAGACCACATCATGTAGCTAATGCCACTCCACGCAATGTGAAGGCCTGCGATCTTCACGACGGAGACTGGGGCGAAGTTGGCAGTATTATCTTTTGGAACTACGTTCATGGTATTTACGTTACAATAATCTATAATATATAGTAGATATTAGTGAATACATGCATAATTGGAGGCCGCATGATATAATTATATATCGATCACTAATATGTTACAAACTCTGAATTTGTGCAATAAGGTTTAGTATTTTGATAGTAAACGTTTTGAGTGTAGATGGACAAGCCAAGGTGGCGAAAGAGAGGATCGAAGTGGTGGAACCTGAGAAGAGATTGGTGAAGTTTAGGGTTTTAGAGGGAGATCTGATGGAAGAGTTCAAGGACTTTGTGATTACGCTCCAGGTTACCCCTAAGCAAGGAGGGAATGGTAGTATTGTGAGATGGCACTTTGAGTATGAGAAGATTGATGAGAACATCTCTCACCCTGAGACTTTGATCCCTTTCTTTGCTGAGATGATCAAAGAGATCGACGAACACCTCTTGTCCGAGGAATAGAGGAGAAAGATTAATTGTTTTTTCCTCCGTACGTACGTTTTGTATAATTTTCATGTTTGTGTCAATAACTGTGTTCTCTCTCAAGATTAAGATAAAATGTCTGCAAGTTATATAAATGATAATGAGTGGATGTTATGTAAGTTGCAAATATGTAACTTGTGAGTGTATGCTGTGATTATTAATTTGATAATAAAAGTGCTTTGCTCGTCTCTGTTCTTTGCTTTGAGATCAAAACACACAAGGATGAGAATCATGTAGGAGATCAAATACACAAAAATTAGCTTGATATTTCTTTAATAGACACAATCGAAGACTGATTCTTGGTATACAACTTCAGCAATTTTGAGGAAAACATAAAATATTGAAATGGAAACAATCCCTTGATTATTATAAAACTAAATTAATGTGACGTATGGATGAACAGTCTGCTATCTGACATTTGCTTGATATATTTTTTCTAGATATTTGCTGGACTCGAACTGTTAGTCCAATCATAATAACCGGATCATAATAATATAAACCCATTATCGATTTTTCTAATTATTTATATCTGTCCAATCAAACTCGAACTGTGTGTCTGCATGTTTGTCTCAGTATTATGTTTTATCTCTAGATTCAGACAAGATATCAGGCGAGTGTATATATATGTCAGAAATGATGATGTATGGTGTTGTTGAGTTTATGTTATGTACGTTTTATGTTGCAAGCTGCACATTCTGTAACTTTGCTAGCACTTTGAGGTGTAAATTTTCCGATCAATTGACGCCATTGTGGATCAACCGCTGAGAGTAAATAAATATTAAATTAAGTTTGCATTAGTTATTTAATGAAAAACAAAATTTAAGTTTGCTCTAGCAATTGAATGTAGTTTTGTTTAAATGAAAAAATATTACTATTATTTAAACTTTTTTTTGTCGGCGCCACGAGTAGTGCTTATCAACAAACCAACGTAAGAAGCCACCTCTCTTTTCTCGAATTTGGTAAAATATTAAGACAAGACGACACAAGATTCATAGTGAGAAACAAGAAAATTGTGGAGCCATGGTGGGGGTTCAAACTCTCGACCTAGAGATCCAAGTGAACATGCCGGCCGATAGATTTTTCAACACTTTCAAGAAGAAAGAAGGAAACTTCACAGACAAGACAGAGGCAGTTTCTGTTCATCGTGATGATCCCAAATCCAACTCCTCGATTCAGATCTGGAACTTCATCGTAGGTAAATAAGTAACTACATAACTTTTTTGCATTCTTGAAAAAGGGTTTACGCTTCTTTATCAAGTTCTTGTATTACATCGATTATAGATGGAAAGATGGAGTCTATTAAGGAGAAGATAGATGTTGATGAAGAGAACAAGTCGGTTTCTTTCTTAGCTATTGAAGGAGATGTGTTGGAGCAGTACAAGAGCTATAAGATAACACTTGACGTTGTTCCTAGAGATGATCGAGTTTGTGTTGCCAAGTGGAAATGGGAATACGAGAAGCTAAACGACGACGTTCCTCCCCCTACTAAATACATTGCGTTTGTTGCTGATTACACGCGTGACCTCGAGACTAGGTTGTTGTCTGAATCATAAACATCTTATCAACGTTTTTGAGTTTCCTTGTTAAAATAACTCAAATCTTATAGACTTATAGTCCCCTGTTTTGTTTCCTCTTTGGACTTGTTTACAGTCTATTTGTAGATAAAATGTGTTGTTGCAGTCTTTACATGCGCGAACTCGAATCAAGACATCAGTTTCTACTATTATCGAGAAGTTTTTTTTGTAGATGGCTCTACTCTTTTTTTTGTTGAATAGCCTTTGGTGGGGAGACGCATCACTGAATCAATACCCACAATCATAGAGTACACGAATCTTTTAGTTTCAATCAACAAGTTGGTATGATCCCTTCACTTGTTAAGGGACCATATATATATTCCAACATTCCACAACTCTCTTGTTATGAAATGATTCTTGCAACTTGAAGTAATTTTAATACATCCTGAACAATTATTTTTTGGTAGATTTCATTTCCATATTCGATAAAAAAAAATTTAGTTGAAATCGTTAAAATATCGCCTTAGACCCCCCAAAATTCAGGGTCGACGCTGCTTTTAAGGCATTGGAAGTTACTCATATGAGATTCAAACATAGTGACATACCTATAATACAATGCTTAATCTCAAAGTAGTGAAACTCCTAGATGATAGATAATTCGACGATACTTCAATTAGCGCAAGTGATGAGTATGTGGAATTATTGAAAACTTGGGATACAGATATGTGACCAGAAAGTAGACTTAATTACGTCACTCATTCTACCACCTTATTGACAATTGCTCAGTCCTTTCTCTATAAAAAGGGCTTATGAGCTCTAAAGGTAGTCATCACTGACTCATTCTCATTCTATAAGTAATCTAGAAAGTATTTAATCATCTGTAAAAAAAAATGGCACAGGCGATGTTGAAGCCATCTCTACAAGGAGAGATTGAGGCAAACGTTGAGATCAAAGCTCCGGCCACGAAGTTCTATCACATGTTCGCAGTGAGACCACAAGACTTGTCAAAAGCCAGCCTTGAGAACCTCCAGGGATGTCGTGTGCAAGAAGGAGAGATGGGCAGAGTTGGCACTCTCCTCACCTGGAACTATGTCCAGGGTAAAACAAAACTTTTATATATATATATAATTTGCTAAAACGGTAGAAGATTTATTGGTAATTTGGTTGCAGATGGCAAGCCAAAGGTGGCCGAAGAGAGGGTAGAGGCAGTGGAACCGAAGAACAATATGATAAAGTTTAGAGTACTAGAGGGAGATCTGATGAAAGAGTTCAAGAGCTTCCTATGCACGATCCAGGTGACCCCGAAGCAAGGAGGAGCTGGAGGTGTGGTGAAATGGCGCTTCGAATACGAGAGGATTGACGAAAACATTGCTCCCCCAGAGTCTCTGCTTCAAGTGTGTGTCAAAACGGCCAAAGAAATTGACGAAATGCTTTTGTCTAATGAGTAGACTCATTTAGTGTCTATATACGTATCTGTCTTTATGTATTTGGGTTTTTTTATCTCAATAATGTACTCTCTCTAGATCTAAAGAGATGTGATATGAAAGTACTACCAGAAATATATATATATATATATATATATATATATATATATATATATATATATATATATATCTTTATGTTTTTGGGTGTTTTGTATACATCAAGCATGTCTTGATAATTTTCTGCCATCTCTCTAGATTTCAAATATGGAGTGTGTTAAATGTCTGGCATTGCATAGTTTATCCCCATACACGTTAACTTATTGGATAAATAATTGGTTAACTGAAAATAATTAAGAAATCTAGCTATACTTGTACTTTACGATTAATAAGTTTGAAATATTAAGTCAAAAATACATATACAATTAATGGATAAATTATTATTATCTGATTAGTATTGAGTCAGTGAATTGGAGTGGTAACATGCCTTAAATAATTTTAAACAAAAAAATTCCTTGGATAAGTTTCGGTTTTGACTTTTCGAAAAATAAAAAGAAATCATACCAAGCAAATGTCAGCGAGCAGACTCTTCATCCATACGTGACATTTAGTTTATAATAATTTAATAACCAACGGTTGTTACCATTTTGAAAATTTATGTGTGTTTTCTCTCGCAATTTCTGAAGTTGTCTATTAAGAATAAGTCTTGAATGATGCATACACTTAATGGATAGCAAGCTACATTTTCATCCGCCGGCTGATGTGTTATATAAGACAACACAAGAGTCATTAATGTGATAAACCAGAAAATTGTGGAGCCATGGCGGACGTTCAGACTCTCGACCTAGAGATCCAAGTGAACATGCCGGCCGATAGATTTTTCAACAGTTTCAAGAATAAAGAAGAAAGTTTCACAGACAAGACAGAAGCAGTTTCTATTCATCATGATGATACCAACTCCTCGATTCAAATCTGGAATCTCATCGTAGGTATGTAATTACATAACTAATTATTTGTATTTTTTTCAGATTCTTGAAAAAGGGGTTCCTCTTTTTATGGAGTTCTTGTATTTTCATTGATTACTTCGGAATCTTGGATTTATTATAGATGGAAAGATGGAGCAGATTAAGGAGAAGACAGAGATTGATGAAGAGAACATGTCGGTTTCTTTCTTAGCTATGGAAGGAGATGTGTTGGAGCAGTACAAGAGCTATAAGATAACACTTGACGTTGTTCCTAAAGATGATGGAGTCTGTATTGCCAAGTGGAAATGGGAATACGAGAAGCTTAACGACGACGTTCCTCCCCCTACTAAATACATTGCTTTCGTTGCTGATTACACGCGTGACCTCGAGACTAGGTTGTTGTCTGAACCATAAACATCTTATCAACGTCTTCGGGTTTCCTTGTTAAAATAAATTAAATCTTGTTATGCAAGAATATTTGTTTTGGTTCCTATTGGGACTTGTTTACAGTTTTTAATAATGCATGTATGACCTTATCATACTTGAAATCAATCTGATTAATTAAAATCTTGTTTTCGGACAACATTTTTAGAATTATTGAGTTTTGGCTTAGAAATAAATGTTTTGGAAAAAGTTTATAGTGAATTCGTTATTTGCGTCTGAATTGTTATTGTGTTTAATTATATATATGTTTCTATTCTCCTACAAGCATGCGAATTACCGTGATGATGATGCTTAGTGTTTATATTTGGAACACCGTCTATAGCTATTATTGCTTGCTTGATACGCGTTTAACTACCTCTTGATAAATTATTCGGTTAAAGATTTTGGGAAAACAAAACCCAAGTACCCAACCTATATACAGTATAACAAGGTATAACCTCTTTAAATTAATACCATATAAATTAATATACATTAATTTTTTTATAAAATAATATAATTTTATAGTGTTAAATTAAAATTTTAATTTAGTTAATATATCAAAAAATTAATAATTTTATAAATTAATAAAAAATATAATTTTGGTGTAGTTTCAACATTATTAATTTATAGAATTTTCATTATAGTTCTTAATTCTCAAAACAACCCCTATATAATAGTTATGTCTTGGCTAAATTTTGTTTTTAAAAACCTAACGTGTGACACGTTGATTCTTTTGGATTCAATTTCTCATTAACTAACGCACCATAATTAGAGTGCATTTGCGGGATTAGTAAACTGAATTAAAACTGACCGTATCACCTCTTTCTAGTAATAGAAGTTCTACACGAACAAAAATCATACCAACTGTTAAACACTAATGAGTAACATATTTTATGTTACTCAAATATGAATTTCATTTATAAATTCTAACAAAACAGTACTATTGATTATAAGATTTTAAAGTTTTTAAAATTCAATATTTGTGAACAAGTAATTGGAAAAAAATTATATTTCATTATTATTGGAAATATTTTGAGCAACTAAAATTTTAATGACTTCCACGTAATATTTTTTGGTTGAAAAAAAATCTAAATTTTATTTTTAAATGTCAAATGATATTTAAGTAAATTTAACTATTCTAAATATGTGGCTGAATACCATCCCCCTTATGTTAATGGACTTAGGGAAATACTTTATTATAAAATGTCACATATTCAAACAGAGAGATATAAATAAAGACACGTTATAATTTGAAAGTATCAACCAAAATTTAAATCTTACAAAAAATCTAATTAAAGATTGAAACAAAGGAAATTAATATCAAATTTTCTGTTAACAAAAATCACATTTCTACTGTGCGTAGGGATAATCTTTCACAAAATGTATTCACCATATATAAGTGGTCTAAATATTTTGTATTTTTAGAAAATAATAAAAAATACATCTACATTTTGAGTAAACCAACCTCCAATTTGATGACAGAAAAATACAACTGAGATTTCAGATAAATTAATATATAGTAAATTCATTTCCTTATTATTTTTAAAAGCTAAATCATTTCCTATTCAGTAAAAATCACACAACTGCATGCATGGCATAAAGATTCGCTATAAATATCACATATTGATTTATTTCTTTTTTCACAAAAACAAAAACATAAGATCATGAGCAATATGAAAGAAACAAATAAGTGTATTCTTGTGGTACTGCTCGTATCATGTGTGTTTATGAGCATGACGAAAGTGGGAGCTGGAACTAATTGGATATCCAGCGATAAGGTTTGGCGATCCTCCCGTTCGCTGTAATCCTAAATATCCTGCAACGTGCAAGCCACCAGTACCTGCAAATCCGTACAGACCAGGATGCGAACATAATCAAAGATGTCGTGGTGGCGGTTCTAATCCACCACCTATTTTCAAGAAATATGTAACAGTAGACCAGTAGGGCAATACAGTAATTCATACAAAAACCAGTCACTCTTATAATGAATAAATATATAGCTTTTCTATATCATTTTTCTGTCCCTAGTTATATAATTCATATATCATCCTATCATTTTGGTTTGACATCCGGTTATAGCTAAGAACCAATCACCTAGTTTAAACAATTCATCGGTTTTCGATTCGATTCTGCAAGCAAGAACCATCGGTTCGGAATGTAGCAACTAAAAAAACTGAATAAACCTTATAATTCTCTAGAAATAAATGAATTACACCAAATTTTATCCAGTTAGTTATGTTCTTTACTAAACTAACAGAAAACAAAAAAAAACAAGATAGGAAACGATTTCAGTTTAATTTGGAACACATAATAATAACCGAAACCAAACCATATAACCTGAGTTTCGAACCAAAATAAAGGTCGGTTTAATCCGGTTATTTTATACCAATCGGGAAAAAACCGCTATGCTCTTGATTTATATACAAACCAACACGCCATCTCCTCTCACCAAAATCAAACAAACTCGTTTTTCACCTCTCTTCTTCTTCTTCTTCTTCTTCCTCCTCTCTCAAGAACCACCCAAATCTCTCTCTCTCGCTTCTTCTGCTTCCTTTCGTGAATGGTGGAACCTAATCCGACCGGTGATAACAACCTTATGCTCATCCCTTCATCTTCAGACTCTGTTTTCTGTTTCGGATCTTGCAAGGAAGGTTGGTACTACCGTTGCCTCGGCCTCGACCCGTGAAAAATGATGTACAACAACAACAAGCAGAAGAAGAAGAAGAGAGAGATGATGGTTAAGGGAAACCGGATCTTGATCAGCGTCACGTTTCTCGGTAGCGCCGGTCCGATCCGGTTCGTTGCGAATGAAGGAGATCTCGTTGCTAATGTGATTGATACTGCTCTTAAATGTTATGCTCGTGAAGGTCGCCTTCCGGTTCTTGGATCTGACTTTAATGAGTTCCTTTTTTATTGTCCCATGGTTGGACCTGAAGGTATGTGAAGATCAATCTGAATGCTTTTGTGTGATTAAGTTTAGTTGTTGATGTTTGTTTTTTTTGTTTTTGTTTGTGTAGCTTTGAGTCCATGGGAAGCAATTGGGTCGTTGGGAGCGAGGAACTTTATGTTATGTGAGAAACCAGAGGTGGAGAAGAAGAAGAAAGTTGAGGAAGAAGACAATGGAAGATCGAGTTTCTTCATTAATGGAGCTAGTAAAGGAAGCTTTAGGGCTTGGATTCACAAATCTTTCAGTCTTAAAGTCACTACTCATTAGACTTTTATGTTGTCTTAATATGTAAACCTTGAAGGGTCGAGATTATTGGTTTTTTGTGTCTTTTTGTTCTATGTTTTTTCTTGTTTTGTAATAATGATTTGTTTCTTATGTTCAAACTTAAACATGCGTCTTTCTTATAAATTTACAAGTTCTTCTTTTGGCTTTATCTACAAAATCAGTTAGGTTACAACATGTGGAAAAAGAACCATACAACTGTTAACGAGTAGTAGATTAGTAACTTTGCTTTAGGTAACGACTTTAGTACAATTGCGATATTCAGTTGTCTTTTGATATTAAGAGTAACTTTCTTGGTTATTGAGATTACGATATTGAGTAGTAGCTTAGGGAGACGTTGACTATTTTTATCAATCAATCAACAAAGTTAATATTTATTAATTTCCATGGAGTAATCAATCAACTATGTACTTTCTTTTTTCATTACTTGATAGATACGTTGTTAATATAGTCTTGTGACATATATTACTACATAACCATGATGTATCCTAGTTTGAAAGTATCTGCTTGGAGTCTTCTAATGCAAATATCTAGAATAGATGATCTAGTATGATATTTTATGTGATCTAAGTCTCGGTGTCATGTTTACAGTTGCATTAAAAATGTGAAGCCGTTGGGAGTTGGCAAAAGATATTGAAGTCGATGTGACCTTTACATGTGAATACATTATCCCAGTAGGTTTGGACGGTCGATGGCGTGTTGAGTCGATCCTTCTTGACTCTTGCAAACCCCCTGGGGCCGTTTATTTTTGAACGGTATCTTTGGTTTTATTAGAGTTTTGAAATTGATTTATGCCTAGGGGTCGAGAAGTCACACCCAAAAAGTACCGACATATTTAGAACAAACAGTTAAATTTTTTTGTAAGCTGAAGTGAAGTTTAAATTTCCATTCAGTTAATTGATATGCATGTGAGCTTGGAGGCCGCGAGGAAGATATGGATACCTTTAGTTACAAGTTACAACAATAAATTAACCTAGCCCAAAGAAGGTTCTTCAAGGTGTACATGAGTCATTTTTGGTAGTTGTGACTTGTTTCATCTATTCATACAGCTTTACGAACTATCAAGTTTTATTAAACCGTTTTTTCTCTAACATCAAAGGTATAGCTATCGCTGCAATTCTTGCTGCTACTGCTCTGTCTGTAAACCCTGAGGCTATAGCGGTGCTGAAAAAAAAAACAAATGGAGTCGTGGGACCTCAAAAAATTCACTGAGTCAGTAATGACAGTTTTAAGAACTAAAGTGAAAACTCGTGGGCATGGAGAAATGTTTGAAAAAACTGCCTATTGTATGATCTTTGATGACAAAATTTTGAAACCTGGCCAGAGTAAGTAGGAGAGGTTAGGCCTGTTGAGAGTGAGAAGAGGTTTCTGTCTGTCTTTAATTATAATCACGTCTTTGGTGAAATTTGTTTAAACAAATCTCACAAGTTGTAGTAAGGTGTTGAGAATGTTGTTTTCTAATTTGATAGATAATGGCAGATTTATGTTTGTTTGTTTTTTTTACCTTTCTTTTTGGGAACAATAAAGTTTTATTTCACTATGCTCTTATGTTAAGCTGGTACTTGTGAAATATCAAGTATCATTGGTTCGGACATTATACTTTCACATCTTCACAGAAAATTCTTTTTACTCAGTTTGCGCGGACCGAACTGTCCTGGCCTCTCTGAACTTCTAGATCACTTCTCCAAAGCCTTTTGTCTGTTTGTTAACCAGAACATCCTGAAACCTGTAGTGACAAATCTCCAATTTTCAGCCAGATGCACACTGTCTAAAAGTTCTTGAGCTCTAGAAAAGACTTCAATGTGTAAACCACAAGTCTCATCACCATTCACTATTGAGGCCAGAGGGTTTTTGAGGCAAACCATTAACAACTTGTTCAAACAAAACCTGAAATGCAAATGCAAGTTCAAACTAAACATCACACAAAACATAATAACCATTCCTTCTGGATCTAAATCAGAATGCACACAGCACTGGATTTTAATCTTTGATCACGTCACAGGCTGCCTGTAGTAGCACAAGGCTGTACAAGAAAAAATAGTAACACCTATCCCTGCTATTTCGGTTGTCCCAAACTGGACTGACCCAAATTTTCGGTTTTTTGGTTAACCAAAATTTTGAAAAGACATTCCAAAAGTAACCTAATTTCGATTTGGTTCAGTTATCGGGGTTAATTTTGGTTTTCACTTTTACTTCTGAAAATAATATTTTTTTAGTTTAGGTGAAAATCTAGTATAATTTTCTTCGGAAAATCGGATAGTTTGGTTAGATTCGGTTATATTAGTTAATTCGGTTCTATTATTTAAGTTATTTTTTTTTTTAAATATGGTAAACTAAAGCGAACCAAAAAGCACATTTTCAAAACTCTTCCGATTTACTCAAGACCATAACCGAACGAAAAAATTAACTAACCAAAAAGCCATAGGACGAAACCGCAGGATTGCTAAAGGTATGATTAATCCCAGTTTCTTAGTTGAGATTTTTAACTCATGATTTGACAGAATTTTTTTTCAACACTTTTCAACTAAAAAATAACTTTTATATCTTTTATTTAAGAAATAATTTTTAGCTTTTTTTAATTAAAATCTTAGAAAAGTTAAAAATCGTCTCTTAGCCAAATCTAAGAACCTCAGTTAAGAAACTAGGGTTAGCGATGGTCTAACACTTTCAATGTTTATTTTAAACTCAACATCACTATTCTCAACCTAAACCATAACATTACACCCGGTTTATCATCCTCTTAACCAAACCGGCACAAAACCAGAAAACCCAAAACAAAAGAAGTTCGCTGAAAAGAAAAACATCAACTAGATTCCTCTTCAGGTTTATCATCTCTCACCCAGCGAACTTCAGACAGAACAGAGAAGACACGTTCGAAATTCTGATGTCACTCTCCACAGTATCTTCCACCGTCGGCGTTCTCGAACTCCCTCGTTCCCGTCTATCACCAATCTCAACCACTCAAAACCACTTCCTCACTCTCTTACCCAAAAGACAACCTCTAAGAAGAAGACACGACCTCTCCTTCACCCCCTTTCCTACACTTATCCACTCAAATCACGTTTTCTCCAACCCCAAATCGATTTTCCATCGTCCCCACTGTGTTGGAGAAGGTACACACTCCGACACAACAGAACAAACCTCTGTAACTTCTGTAAGTCCCTCCTCTCTCTAAAGCTTGATACTTTGCATGCCCTATAAAGCTTAAAGCTTGATACTTTTTCCCTCCCCCTATAAGCTTAGGTTGATGATAATCAAGAAGAAGCGAAGAGAAGCGAAAGCTATGTAGCTTTGTTTGTGCGGATGCTTGGTTTAGACAACGACCCTCTTGACAGAGAACAAGCCGTAGAAGCGCTTTGGAAGTACTCTCTAGGTGGGAAGAAATGCGTTGACGCTATAATGCAGTTTCACGGTTGTTTGAATCTCGTTGTTAGTCTTTTAAAGTCCGAGTCTAGCTCCACTTGTGAAGCTGCAGCAGGGCTGCTAAGGTCTATAGCTTCAGTGAATCTGTATAGAGAGTTTGTTGCTGAGAGTGGTGCGTTGGAGGAGATTACAGCTTTGTTGAGCAGACCTTCTTTAGCTACAGTGGTATGATTTGAAGTGTTATTATGATTATATAGTAGCTGGACCTAGATTTAGGTGGTCATAGGCAATTTATATAATATTTAAATTAAAAATTTGGGGGCATATGTCTTTATAATTTTCTTCAAAAATAAATTTTGGTGGTCTGAGGCGAATGTTTCATTCGGCTTTGGCCTTCAGAATGTTTCATTCGGCTTTGGCCAAGTAGTATACTTTTTGAGCTTTATGTGATTTGGAAATGTTTGCAGGTGAAAGAACAAAGCATATGTGCTTTGTGGAATCTGACTGTAGATGAAGGGATTAGAGAGAAAGTTGCAGATTTTGATATCCTTAAGCTGCTCATTAGTTTCCTTGAAGATGATGATGTTAATGTAAAGGAAGCAGCTGGTGGAGTCTTGGCTAATTTAGCTCTTAGTAGCTCCAACCATAAGATTATGGTGGAAGTAGGAGTCATACCTAAACTGGTAAAAAGACCTTTTCCTTTTTATGTTTTCTGATTAGAATCAAAACATGATATTGATTTTGGGGATTGGGATACAGGCAAAGCTGTTGAAAGGGGATAACAAAGGGTCTAAAGTGATTAGAAAAGAAGCAAGGAATGTGCTTTTGGAGCTTGCTAAAGATGAGTACTACAGGATTCTTGTTATTGAGGAAGGTGTTGTACCGATTCCTATAATTGGTGCAGATGCTTACAAGTCGTTTAGACCGGATCTGTATTCATGGCCTAGTTTACCGGACGGTATCAAGGTCGAGCAGACAGCAAAAGCTCCTTCTAGATTTGGTGCCTCTGAGCTGCTTCTTGGTTTAAATGTTGACGAGAATGTTGATGAAGTAGATGAAGCTAAAATGAAAGCTATAGTTGGGAGGAATAACCAGCAGTTCCTTGCTCGTATTGGAGCTATTGAGTTCGAGAAGGAGATAAAATCTGAAGGTCCAGAGAAATCATCACAGCAGCAGCAGCAGCAGCTTACTCTTCTTCCTTGTGTAGATGGTGTGGCTCGTTTGGTGTTGATTCTTGGATTGGCAGATGAAGTGGCTGTGTCAAGAGCTGCAGAGTCAGTTGCTGATGCGTGTATTAATGAGGAGATGAGGGTTTCGTTCATGGAAGCTGGAGCTGTAAAGCCTTTGATTCAGTTATTAGCTAACAACAACAAAGAGGCTGTTAAGATACCTGTCATCCGTGCTTTGAAAAACTTATCTCTTAGGTGCTTATCTTTTAGCGTTGTGTAAGTTTTTCTTTAACTTTAGCAGAGGTTGTGATTATTGACACTTTGATGTTAATGCAGCCGCACTGTTTGCAAGAGGATTGAAGCTGAAGGTGCTGTGCCGTTTTTTATTAATCTTCTGAAGCAGCCAGAGATCTCACCAAGCATTACAGAACAGGTCTGACTTCGTTTTCTTTCTCCTTCCTTCTTTGATATCTTTGTCTAATCATCCTTTGTGAACAATGATTTGCAGATTCTGGATGTACTTGCTCATATGTTAGATCCTAGCAAGGAAATGGAATCCAAGGTGTGTTTACTCTCCATGTTTTATCGTTTCATCCTTTCTCATTTGGCTTAAACTGTTTCTCTATATGCAGTTCTATGAAGGACCTGTGAACGGATCTAAAGCAGACTCCAGGTCTATCTTCTTCTCTCTCTCAGCTCGTTATATTTGTTGTTTTTAGTAATATCAAATGCTCAGTATCTGTTGGAATAAACAGAAAGGAAGCTCTGGACGCTACTGTTATCTCTCGTCTCGTCCAAATTGCTAAAACAGCCTCACCTAACCTGCTGAGAAAAGCAATCTCTGTCATCGAGTTTGGTACGGTCATTGATCCAACCATGGACACAATCATCTCCGAGGATATTACAACTGTTCTGGATGTTGCTCTCCGTCAGAATGTCCTTGATGGTACAAACTTTTCGCTTTAAATACAATATTTGAATGCTCATAACAAACAACACATGAGAGTTTTTTTGCGCAAATGTAGAACCTGAGAATGAAGATGAGGAGTTAGAGAAACACTTGCTTGAGCTAGAAGAAGCTGGTTTGACGATCTCAGCTGCTTCGAGACTACTAACAAAACTTCTCGACTCTGACTCTTTTCGCCAAACTGTGGATTTAACACTCTTCACTGAACTACTTAGGAAGATCCTACGATCAAACCTCCCTCTACACTACAAAGACTGGGTCGCTTCTTGTCTTGTCAAACTCACCTCTCTCTCATCTCCCTCTCCATCTCTCAACAACCCAATCAACGTTGAGGTTTGTTAGTACATAAATTAAGCTCTCAATCACAACATGTTTGCTTTTTAGTAATGTTTTGTTACTTTTACATCACAAAAAGGTAACTCTCTACAAGACGATCCCAAGCCTGGTGGAGCAGATGAGCTTCGCCTCAAGTCCAGAAGCGAAAGAAGCAGCGGTTTTGGAACTGAACAAGATAGTCTCAGAGGGAGTTCCAGAGTCGACACAAGCTCTTGCTTCACATGGAGGGATAGAGCCGCTGGTGAAGCTTCTAGAAGAAAGGAACGAGCGGTGTGTGGAGGCGAGTTTGTCAGTTTTGTATAACTTGAGCATGGACAGTGAGAACCATACAGCTATTATAAGAGCAGGAGCTGTGCCAGTGTTGAGACGGATTGTTATGTCTCAAAGACCACAGTGGAAGAAAGCTTTAAGGTTACTCAGAGATTTGCCTGTTTGAGAGAAGTTGGTGTTCTTGAATCAGAGTGTGATCTCTTGTTCTTGTTACTTAAAATCTCTTCGAGATGTTCGAATAATATCCTCAGAATATCATGTACTATATATAGTATGATTGTCATGGGGGTATAATACAAGTCATGTGCTTATTATGTTCGTAAGCATGCGTATTTGTACCTAAATCTGATCCCAGACTTTTTTTTTGAACAAATAAAGTTGAATCCATATTTGATTTGACCTGTAAAAATATTTTAAACAGATTTTGTATTTTAACAAATTTGATCGAAAAATCTAGATTCTTATCTAAAATAAATATTTAAAATCCCATCCAAAAATATTTTAAACAGTTCTTATCTAAAATAAATATTTAAAATCCCATCCAAATAAGCATGACGAATATTAAAACTTATGTTTTTGCTAATCGTCCATTAAAAATAGTAAAACTTGATGTATTTTTAACCTAATTTATAAAATTAAGTTTGGTTCCAAAAGATGTTAGACGGAGATAAAATATACTAAAACTCGAGAAAATTATTGAATAAATCACAATAAATAAAAATCAATTGGATCTAAGAAGTTGATTCTGAAAATCAGATTAGAAGTCCCAATGGTTAGTTATTATAATATTTTCAATTCATAGTCAGCACGTAGTATCAGTATATTGTGCGAATACATACGAGAATATACGATGCTAAAACATTTAACGCTTTGTGATGTGTTACGCAAGTAAAGTTATTAATGGAAGGGAGATCCCTAAATCGATATAACTCAACGGCTAAGATTTTCTTATTACACGCTGAGCCACACGTGTCGCAGTCTCGTCTAGTTTAAGCAAACTCTCTCTCTCTCTCCTCCCCACTACACACAGCGTTTATCATCATCATCACTCTTCTTCTCATTCTCTCAGACTCAAATCCAATTCTGAATACGTCTTTAACGGATATGGCATTCAAGGTTACCCTCGTCTCAACATCCCCTATCGATGGCCAGAAGCCTGGAACCTCTGGTCTCCGTAAGAAGGTTCGTCGATCCCAAAATCGATCTGGATCCGATCTGTTTAGATTATAACGACTAGATTTTGAATTGTGATTAATCGTATCACTGTGTATTCCATTTCGATTTTTCGATCAATGCATTGAGCCATATGATTCGATCCATGCATTGATCACGTTATGATCTTTGATTTGAATATATATTTGGGATGAATGTTAACCTGATACAACTATTTGAACACATATAGAGCTTGACGTTACAATGTTTGCATTGACGTGGCGAAACTGTGAGGATCTAGATTGGATTGGATTGGATTGGATTGGATTGGATTTGTTTAGTATAGCTCAGATCTCTATTAACCATTTTCGTTTTCGAGTGTGTATTAGCTTTGGATTGGATAAGCAAATCATATATGAATCCAGTCTCCATTGTTTGGTCTAGTGGTCTCTGCAGATAATGTTCAAGCTAGGATCTTTTTGTGTCTCTGATTGGTATTGTGTATCTGCGTAGGTGAAAGTGTTCAAGCAACCTAATTACCTCGAGAATTTTGTGCAAGCAACCTTTAATGCGCTTACTTCAGAGAAAGTCAAAGGTCAGAATTTTTTTATTGTTAGATAAGAGTTCTTAGGCAGATATCTGCTTATTTTGAATTCATGAGTGTTCGTTTATCTGTGCAGGTGCTACACTCGTGGTCTCTGGTGATGGTCGTTATTACTCAAAAGATGCTGTTCAGGTAAAACCAATGTGATTCTGTCTTCTTAATCTGGCTAAATGTAATAGGTGTATTCAATACTTAGCGTATAATTTTGAATTGGTGCTCTGCTCATGTATTTGTAATTTTCTTGAGGAAACTCTTGTTTAATGTTGCTATGTTGGCTATTGAGGGTATTAGAGGTAACGGTTTTGTTTGTCTTTGGAGATGATCTCTAAAACTTGCGTGCAAGTTTCTTTGGCTAAGTCTGCTACTGTTACATAATTTCTGCCTGCTATTTCAGGCGACGAGGCTTTCCAGCTTTTCATACCATTTTTTATTTTTTCATTTGGACAGATCATAATTAAGATGGCAGCAGCTAATGGTGTACGCCGTGTGTGGGTTGGTAAAAACACTCTGATGTCAACCCCCGCTGTATCAGCTGTGATTCGTGAAAGATCAGGCGCTGATGTGAGATCTCTTTCTCTAACTTCATCTTTGTAGTGATATTTGAATGTGTTTTTTTTTGGGTTTTCTGTGTTCGTGCATGAGTGCAAACTTTGATGAGAGACTTGCCCGATTCTCTGGTTACAGGGATCGAAAGCAACTGGAGCATTTATCTTAACAGCAAGTCACAACCCTGGTGGCCCTACTGAGGTCCGTTCTGTTCTTGTTCTGTCTCTATTGTGCTCTGCCCCCTTTGTGTGAAGTATATATCTAACTCGATAAGACTAAGCGTTGACTGCCTGCCTCTTATACAGGATTTTGGAATCAAATACAATATGGAAAACGGTGGGCCTGCTCCTGAATCAATCACTGATAAGATCTACGAGAACACTAAGACAATCAAGGAGTACCCAATAGCCGAAGATCTACCCAATGTATGTAAACAGTCTAAAGATTCCTCTCAGTTCCATTCTCTGTATATTTTTTGAATTAAAGTTGATCTGGTCTCTGTGACTAAATGCAACAGGTTGATATTTCTGCCGTTGGTGTAACCAGCTTTGAAGGACCTGAAGGGAAGTTTGATGTTGAAGTTTTTGATTCCGCAGATGACTACGTTAAACTGATGAAGTGAGTCCTCCCTCAGTTTGAGAGCATGATTCCAGAATCTGCTCCCTTTATGGTTTATCTGCAATCTCTATGGTTTTTCTAATAATATCTTCTCTCCCTTAAGGTCAATCTTCGACTTTGAATCCATCCGGAAGTTACTTTCATCTCCAAAATTTACATTCTGGTATGCATCTTATATTGGTTCCTCATCCTCTTCCATATGAGCTAAGTTTGGTAAGAAAGTTTTCATCGGTGTAATGTTATATTTTACTTTATTTTATGAAGCTATGATGCCTTGCACGGTGTTGCTGGGGCCTATGCACATCGCATCTTTGTGGAAGAACTCGGTGCGCAAGAAAGTGCCTTGTTGAACTGCGTACCCAAGGTCTTATTTTTTTCTAACCACAAAATACTATTTCTAAAAATGATTACAAATAGACCTCCAGTCTCACTATTTACCACAATACAACATTTTTTAGGAGGACTTTGGAGGAGGACATCCGGATCCCAATCTGACCTATGCTAAAGAGCTTGTAGAACGAATGGGTCTAGGTAAATCCGGCTCCGGAGTTGAACCTCCAGAGTTTGGTGCCGCTGCTGATGGTGATGCAGACCGTAACATGATCCTTGGTAAAAGGTAGCGTACTAATGTTCTTAGATACATTCATGGAACGGGTTTACGAAGTACTTCTAAACTTGATTGTATCTATACTTTTGTAGGTTCTTTGTAACTCCTTCGGATTCAGTTGCCATAATTGCTGCAAATGCCATTGGGGCCATGCCGTACTTCAGCTCTGGTTTGAAAGGTGTTGCAAGGTATTGTACACTGTGGATCTTTTTTTTTTTAACTTCTAGCCGAATTCTGTGTATGCATGTCTTTTATATATATCGTTTTCCACGTTATATTTAACTTGCGTTACTTATTTTAGGAGCATGCCGACCTCAGCTGCTCTAGATGTGGTTGCAAAAAGCTTGAATTTGAAGTTCTTTGAGGTATATGTCAACGTGCAACTTCGATATAGCTTATTTTCCTCCAAACTCCGTAAATTTGTTAACATCTCCTGATAAAATCACATATCAGGTTCCAACAGGCTGGAAGTTTTTTGGTAACCTGATGGATGCTGGGATGTGTTCTGTCTGTGGGGAAGAAAGTTTTGGAACTGGTTAGTTTCTATTTCCACACTCACACTTCTGCTAACAACTTAAAAACAATCGGTACGGTTCTGAAAGAAAAATGTTTCACAGGCTCCGATCATATCCGTGAGAAAGATGGGATATGGGCAGTTCTTGCGTGGATGTCCATACTTGCTCACAAGAACAAGGATAACATTGACGGTGACACTAAGCTAGTGACGGTTGAAGACATTGTTCGCCAGCACTGGGCTACGTATGGCCGTCACTACTACACTCGTTACGACTATGAGGTAACAAGTTGCTAAGTTTGGTGATTGTATTATACCATATTATGCGGAACAAATGGTGATATCTTAAAATTTGTCCCCAAAGAATGTGGACGCAGGTAAAGCTAAGGAACTGATGGAGCATTTGGTCAAATTGCAATCTTCAATTCCTGAAGTCAACAAGTACACACACTTCCACTTCTCTAAATCTCTTAACTCATTAGTTTGGTACTCTGATTATTATTTTTTTACTAATCTATTCCTCTCTTGATTTGATTCAGGATTGTGAAAGGAATTCGTTCGGACGTGGCGAATGTCTCCAGTGCCGATGAGTTCGAGTACAAAGATCCAGTTGATGGATCTATCTCAAAGCACCAGGGAATCCGTTACTTGTTTGAGGATGGATCACGACTTGTAAGTCCCTCATTTTTCTCTTTGGTTTTGAGTCTTTAGGCATATCAGCTTGAACAAAGTAATAGAAAATAATCATATACAAAACATGTGGAGATAGTATTATAGTTTAAGAAGTATGAAATCAGAAACTGATTAATCCTCTCTTGTTGTATGATGATCTAAAAATCAAATGAAGGTATTCCGTCTGTCTGGAACCGGCTCGGAAGGAGCAACCATCAGACTCTACATTGAACAGTACGAGAAAGATGCTTCGAAGATTGGACGAGAGTCCCAGGAAGCTCTGTCTCCTCTGGTCAGAAAACCTTTCAAATATCCATAAACTAATATTACCAAAAGGGTTTGCTCTCATTGTTTGTTTTGATGTGTTGTGATTTCACAGGTTGACATAGCTTTGAAGCTGTCCAAGATGGAGGAGTTCACGGGCCGATCAGCCCCCACCGTCATAACTTAAGAACGCAACGATCCCAAAATCATACACTTGTGTCTGCGTCTAAGGGATATATACTTTCTTCTCACTATATGAAATAATCAGTCTCAGAGAGAGACTTCATATTTCTTTTCGGATTTTTTGAACAATCCTGTCTGAATTTGTCTTTCTCGGTTTTGGTTACTCTGGTTTTACATCTATTACATAATATATAAGATTTTGTTATAACAGTTCAATGATTTTGCAAGTTTAATCTCTTTTACATCAACTTTATGACGGTGCTAGACTATTTACCACTGATTGAGAAGATAAGAAAGCGAATTGGGTCCTGGACAGGGAGGTTTTTATCCTATGCGGGTAGAGTTCAACTTATAAAGTCGGTTATTGCTAGCTTGGCTAACTTTTGGATGGCTGCATTTAGGCTTCCTAGTGGCTGTTTAAAAGAAATTGAGAGACTTTGTTCAGGGTTTTTATGGTCAGGACCTGATATAAATAATAGGAAAGCGAAGGTGTCTTGGGAAGAAGTATGTTGTACGAAGGAGGAAGGGGGCTTGGGTCTAAAGAGATTAAAAGAAGTTAATAAGGTTAGCTGTCTGAAATTGATTTGGAGAATACTGTCCTCTAACTCTATGTGGGTTAACTGGGTTAAGAAGTATCTGATTAGGAAGAACTCTTTTTGGATGATTAAGGATAATACTCAGTTGGGATCCTGGATGTGGAAAAAGATTCTGAAGTGTAGAGATATTGCCAAGCTTATGTATAGGGCTGAGATCAACAATGGGAAGAAAACATCGTTTTGGTACGAGTATTGGTCTTCTATGGGATGTCTGAATGATATTCTGAGAGAAGGTAGTCATATTGACATGGGTATCCTCCGAAGCGCGACAGTGGAGGAAAGCTGGAATCATAGGAGACGTTCTCACCGAGTTATGATTTTAAATAAATTGGAGGATGAGATAGAGAGATGCAGAGGTAAAAAGAACCAAAATGATGATGTTTCTCTTTGGTTGAATGGAAGGGGCCAGCCTAAAAAGCTGTTCTCATCGAAGGAAACCTGGGAGTTCATCCGAGTTAAACGTCAACTCTGCTCTTGGTATAATGCAGTGTGGATAAAACATGGGACTCCAAAGTATTCTTTCATTTTATGGTTAGCTCTAAAAGGTAGACTAACTACGGGAGACAGAATGAGATGTTGGAAAAGTAATATCAATATCGCTTGTGTGCTTTGCAGGGAGCCTTTGGAATCTCTTAAGCATTTATTTTTCGAGTGTGAGTACTCTTCTCATGTCTGGAGTATCTTAATGAAGGGAGTTTTGTTGGACCATTTCACAGTGAAATGGGATGACATTTTAAGGATTATGGGAGATAAATCAAGGAGCAAAGTGAGCTTGTTTATTATCAGCTACATGTTTCAAGCCGCTGTTTACATGATTTGGAGGGAGAGGAATAGAATAAGACATGGCGAGGCTGAGGTTCCTGCATCTCTTTTGGCGAAAATTCTTGACAAAAATATGAGGAATAAGCTCACCTTGGTTCAAAGAAAATGTGATGGGAAACTTGGAGATGGTATGCAATATTGGTTTGCTTCAAGATAAGGTAAACTTGAGGAAGCAGAGGTTCAGAGTTTGATGTATATGCGAGGAGGTTGTACAAATTTGATCCAGTAGGAGTGAGGGCTGGCTCTTAGTAGGAGTGAGTGCTAAGAGGACTTGAGGAGTTTTCAAAACCAGTAGGAGTGAGGGCTGGTTCCAGTAGAAGTGAGAGCTGGTTATTTAGTAGGAGTGAGTGCTAAATAATTGATTTCTTCTTAAGTAAATCTGGTTTGAAGGAGATAGAGCTGCGGTGATGGTTTGTTCTTGAATACAATTGTTCAGATTACTTGGTTGTTTTATCTTTCTTGTTTTCTAGTCTTTTAGAAAGTTAACACATGGATGTAACAAGAGTTTTTCTTTTTGAATTAAATTTAATATTCAATTCAAAAAAAAAAAAAAAAAAAAAAAAAAAAAAAAAAAAAAAAAAAAAAAAAAAAAAAAACAAGGTTGGTTTGCTAAGTCGGAAAATTTGTCTTTACATAAAGTTTGTGATGTAACCAAGAATACATACAACGAGTTATACACATTCAAAACAAACGAGTTATATAGAGGTTAAGCCTTCTTGGTTACAAGGAGGAAAAGGGGAAAAAACGAGACCCTAGCCGAGTGATGTGAGAGGGAGAAACATGGAAGGAGTTGAGCTGGAACTAGAGAGAAGAAGCAAGTTCTTGAACAACTTGATACAGCAGAAGAAGAAAGCTAAAGAGTAGCAAGACCAGAAAGACGAGTTCAATGTATGAGTTCGAGCTTCCGACATGCCTCTGTCAATGCAAAACAGGGCCTTCAGTTTATCCCGTGAGCTCTTGAATGCTACGCCTGGAAAGGCCGACAACAAACGCCTCGCTCTCGCTCTAAAAAAGGTTACAATCTTTTATTTCAAAAATCGCTTCTTTAATCAAGTATCATCGAAGGAGTCTACTACTGTGGAGTAAGTGTTGACACAGAATCAAATAGAGTGGGGTTAGAGATGCCCTTAGATCACCAATGAGAATGTTGATCCACTGTTATTCACTCTATTTATGTCAAGTTCAATGTGTCAATCTTCTAGACCGAATCTTCGATGTAAATCAAGAATAGGTTTCTAATTCATGCAGTGTAATTAAACGTGAACTTAGGGGGACTTCTCTTTCTGGTACCCTGTCATGTTGTGTATTGTTAGAGAGTAGGATAGTGTAAGAACTCATCCACGAATTACAAAACTAAGAAGAGAACAAAGAGAAGGTTTATTAGGGTCATAATCACCTGTTTTTGGTGGACATATATATAAATCTCAAACAACAGTATAACAATTCAAGTTGTAGACAAATTTCAAAAGCTTCGAATGATGTTTTATATACATTATCCCTGCTATTAATACAAACTGATGATTCCCTTCAACTTCTCTCTCTCTCTCTTCACATCACACAACATTTAGCAGGTCCCTTTGGATCAGCTCTAGCTTCCTCGGTACCTGAAAAAACAAGACTTTGATTAGAAGCCTGCTGGTCCAAAAACTTATCATAAACAAAAACACTGTTACAGAAGGTACCTTCCGGGGGTTGAGCTAACTTGCGGTTATGGGAAGTCATCATTTCTTTTTTCAGCTTAATCAGAATGTCCTCCATTGTGTATTCTCTCCGCCAGTTAGCGAGCATAGGGAAGAGACTCGGTTCAACCTGAATCATAAGTTGTTATAATAAGCTGATATATACATATAACACCAAGAATGGAAGTCAGAGAGCTTACCACTCCAGTTTCAGGGTTAACACAAGCCATGTTAATCCGGGTCTGGAACCTCACAGTTGGAGGACTTTCTGGGTATTCCTTGCCACAGAAGAGCTTCAGCTGGAAGATTTTCCCTTCGTATGCAGTCTGATATTCGTTCATCACCAAACAAAAACACCATCAATCTTCTCAAAAGCCAAAAACCAAAAGCAAGCAATTTTCTTTCTTGTTATAATCACTCCAAATCAATAGTGGACAAGAAATGTACCAAAGACCATTTGTAGTAAAGCGACATAGCTAAAAGTAAGGGATCATTTCCACTAATAGCCCCACAAGCAACTACTTACGTTAGGTCACAGAGATATTACCCAAAACATAACGACAAAAGGTGAAAGAAGACTCTTAAGCACCCAAATTAGGATCAACATCCCCAAAACCCAAAAGCAGAAACAAAAAAAAAACAATGTCTTTCCTTACTTTTGTCCACGCTAATCAATAATGGTGATAAAATGTAGCTAAAGAGCATTTGGAGTAAAACCATCTCAGATGAGTTAACAAAAACTTAGTAAAAGCTAATTACTTTAGGGCACAGAGATATTACCCAAAACATAATGACAAAAACTAGAAGAAGACTCAAACTAAGCATCTGATCAACATGAACCTCACTCTACCTACCAATCCTCTCCCAAAAGAGTGTTAAAAATTGCATCTTTAATCAACCAAACACAGAAAAAGAGAAAAAAAGCCTTCAACTTTGAATCTCAAAACAATCAAACACAAACAAAGGCGAGAGAGAAAGGAGAAGAAGCAATAATACATTGTGAGGGCCGAGGATGGTGCCAGTCCAGGACTGCATATAGATATCATCAGCATCATCCATTCCATAGCTCACCGTTCCATCTCCGATCCCTTTCTCACCTCTCTCCAGCTCCTCCAACAATCTAAAGTTCCTCGGCACTACACCACAATCAATTTCAAGATCAGATTTTTTTTAAAAAAATCGGGAGAAAGTGGATCCGGGTCACATTCGCATTCGGATCGTGTGGATACAGAAACCCTAGATCCGGAAATCAAATTGAATGGGACTTACCGACGACTTTCGCTTCCTCGGAACTCATGGCCTGGGGATCGTGGACGAGTTTCAGGAGATGTGATAAGGTTAGGTGAAATAGAGAGAGAAGAAATCAACAAATCAATTAGCTTTAAGAGAGAGAGAGAGACTGTTCACCTTAAGGATGTGTCAAGGAGAAAAGATTGGAAGAATGAAAAAAAAAAATGATGCAGATGCTTTTCTTTTCTTATTATTTCAATCATTAATGTGGGGATTATTAAAAATAATAATTAACAAAAAGATTCAAATACTTTTCTTAAGAAAATAGTATAAACATCTACTACAACTAGATAATTAAACTAAAGAACCATAAATAATGTTAGTGTTAAGAAATGAAGATGGTGGTTGGGACATATCCGGAAATGGACCAGACCACATCAGTCTACTTCAGTCCCAAGACTAGGCGGCCAAGACTTGTCATTATCCTCCCTTGTATTTATCCATATGTTGTAGATATCCTAATCATTATAGGATTAGGATAATCATCCCCTTTATTTGTAGCAATCCTTATCTCCTAA